TCATAATATATCTATAGAACCGTTATTGACGATTAAACAAAACTGATTTCTAAACTTTACATTATATTATGAGCAATCCGATTTCATCATGTTGAATTCGCATGGCGTATCATGAATAATATAGATTTTCGTTTTATTCGATACACGATATTCATTCAACAATATAATACTTGGCGATATCTGCAGCAGAGCCATTGTCAATATGCGCAACAAATCAAAATAAAATAAATCACTTATAGTATTGGATTTTCATTTATATAAATCATCAAATTGGCTCTTACTGAGACTTTGACGGCTGTTTAGTATTTTTTTTTTTTTATATGAACATATCAGTGATTTTGGTGTTTTAATATTTTAAAAGCTATTTACTTGTTGTAGGTAGTGTAGTAATGGAAACTATTACCGTGGTTCGATACGGTTAAAATATGTGTAAATCACCACATTTATCTACTTCTTGCAGTACACAATAAATTATTTTAAATTTCTTTTCAGTTGCTTGTTAACAGACTTCATATTTTATTTAATATTTTTTTATTTTTTATTTTTTTTTTTATTTAGAATCTTAGTACAAACTATTAGATTCAACACTTACAGAATATACAGAGAAGTAAATGAACATGATGTATACAAAATTTATGATAGAAATAATATAGTAATAATACAATAATATAAACCAATTAAGTTTTATAATGTCGAGTCGTTGATATCGGAAGATATTTAACATAGCAAAACATTTAGATTATACATAATATGAAGGCATAGAAAAGAGTACGATATTTAATTTTTATGTACAGCAAAAATAAATTTAAGGAGATAAGGTATTCTTGAAAATCATTGTTTGTAGAAGCGTGGATACGAGCAAAATTAATGGAGTAACAAGGGAATTTAATTGCATAACGAACTGAGATAAGATAACTGAAACAGATTCGGAATTTAGATTATTCGAATTGCCTGCAATTATTTTTGCATCGTCTTGGCGCTGTTTTCCTTTGAGTTGAGTGTGGGCGAGCGGAGGCATGTCTTTGACTGGCTAGTCCTTTGATGGCATGGTTGGTGGTGTAAATGGAATGATCTTCGTATGGGCTTTCTTGTGAGAGGTGATTGACTTTTTTTTTTAAAGATGAACATCCTTTGTAATTCGCGGTATGTGCCTCAGCACATAACGCGAATTTTGCTGGTTTACTGGAAGGTTTGGTGCAGGCATTGGTAAGATGGTTGTTACTGCATTTGACGCATCTTGGAGGTTCGTTACAGTACTCTTGTGTTTGAACATAACGTTAATACTGTTTACATAACGGTGGAAAACGAGCTCGATGAAGCTTTTCGACCGCAATTTTGGAATTTAGGAGGGAGAATAGTTGGTATATTCTCCGATTAAATTCGTTTGTTATGAGGATGACAGAAAAAAGAGAGAGAGCTTGTTTGCTTAAACGATGGCGAATATTTGATACATTAATCACAGAGAATTCCTCATCTGTGAGGGCTCTTTCTATATCCTCAATGGCAATAGTGTGATGTAAATGGTGAATAAATACTTTTATTGGGCGGGTATGTCGGGGTGCCCACGTATGGGCCTTTAAATATTGGTCATTGCAGTAATCGATCAATTTAAAATGGTCAATACAATTACGGGTTTTAACATATAAGGAGGCACCCTTGGCGGTAACGGTAAAATCGTCAGTACCCACTAAAGAAGTAAATACCGCTTTTAATGCGGAATAGTTTGTGACATTACTTATTACAATTGGCGTAGATGGTTTTTTGGCAAACTCATCTACATCGACGTCGATGTAGTTTGTTTCAGTGGCGATGATTTTACAATTTGCTTCGGAGGCAACTGGGGCGGAAGGCGAACTAAAAACCGCGAGGAGGTTCTCATCCGTGGCCAGAACGGAGAAGCGATTTGGTGACATAAACATCTTGCTAATCTTTACTCTTGTGTTAGTATTAGGCGAAGAGGAGGACGACAGATTCCGTTTTGTCGATTCCGATGTAGAGGCGCGATACATAACGAATGGGTCGGAATCGTGCTAATACGTGAACATGATTATCTAATAATATTAGTGATAGAAGCAGCGAGCGCAACGTGACGAACGTGCGTGTGCAACGGCGGATTCGCAGTGACTGATTTAATATTTTTATATATAGATATTATACACATGATATTATTTAAAAATAAATATTTCAAATTGTTTACGAAATTGTGTGTAAAACCTGCACAAATTTAAGATTCTCATTTGAATTTTAATAATCATTTTTCGAACCTCGAAAGACATTTTAAAATTGCGCGTCACCGGTTGTTTTTATATCGGATCAGGTCCACATACGGTCACGTTGTTGGAACAAGTGCGTCTTGGCGTTTTTGGCGATTTTTAATTTTTAATGGTGACTTTTTTGTGCGTTTTTTGTTACACCTTTTGTATTGTAATCATTAGACGTGTGTGTATTGACCTTCTTTTTTACGAATTTTGATACTACCACCCATCCCGTTAACGCGTCTGTCATTTGTTGGTACAGTCCCCATACGTAGGTCGTCAGCTACCCTCTTGATTCCCAAGTGGTTGGACCACCAAACTCATTGTTGCCGCGACCGCTGTTAGTGGCCAACCTGTTCTTGTGTATTATCGTGGCCATAAATGAATAATCAGTATTATAATTTTTGTATTATTGTTATAATTTATATGATCATTAATTTTGTATTGTTTCAATTATATGTATATACGTTTTTGAAAAACTTGTGGGGCGCCCGTATTTTTAAGATATTAATTATTCCATTTTTTTGATTTAATACACTTACGTGCGTGCCTTGAGGCGTGTCCCTTGCGTACTGATTATCATAATTGCATCGGGCTATAATTATATAGGTATTTCTCTTGATTTCTTCTTTAATTCCCAGTTGTCGAGGTCAACCGCTGATTAGGAACTTCCTGGCGAAACCATCATCATAGGTATTTTTTAATTTTATAACATTTAAATAAGGGCATAAATAGTAATTTTAAATTTGTCTTTTATAGACATAAATTCGGTAGATATAACATACAATTTCATTAGAATCCCATATATATTCGTATATGTATATAGATATATGGTATATAGTGTATTTGGACTCAAATTATATGAACCAGAATAATCTTTGTTTATCCTAAAGTGAACATATGTGACGTAAACGCATCTATAGATTTTTATCACGAAAAATGTTTATAAAATACGTAATAATCCACGTTACGCGGGTCGTATATTATGCATTTATGCGTATATGCTTTACGCTGCGAAGAGAATGTACACCTATGTCGAGCGACGGAATTCAATCGAATGCGATCGTCGATAACCTCGCTCGCGTCTATTCATCCGATTCGACGCGTGACATTTTAATAATAATATAGGTAAGCTAACCGAACAGAAGAACAATATCGCATGATATTTTGTTATGCATACGTGTAACTTAGTGCGTTATATATGTGTAATAGAGTTGTTTCGATAATATTCTCGGTGCTATTGTAATCGTATTAAAGGTCAGACGAATTCGTATAGGTAAAAAATCTGTAAGTTGAGTATTTTTTTAATTTAATTTTTATTTTAATAGTAATAATAATAATAATAATAATAATAATAATAATCAACGCTGTACATGTAATGACAGCATTTTACGATTTTTTCTTTTCCCATTTCGAGATTATCCGATTGGTTTTGTCGCATATCATCGAGACATACGTATTGAGGGACGTGCGGGAGAAAAACACGTGTGTCAAAATTAATATCGTTTTCGAGACCAAAAGAGAGACATGTGGTTATTTTGATTTGGTCGCTATACGTATATTATGTATAGATGTATTTGTAAATTAAATAAAATATAGTTTTACACGAAAATATGTTTTATGGGAACGACGAAAGGTCGCAGCAGCCGCCACTGATACCTTCGTCCCCGCCACCGACGCGCAGACTTTGCCATGCTGTGTACGCATGTATTATTGTACGTGTGATCGTTTCGTCACATCGTTAGCACACGGACAACGATAGTATACTATTATATTGTCACTACTACAGGCAACTATGCTTTTATACTACGATAATCCAATGTTATCCAGTTCAAAAAACGGAAAACGGGTTGTTATCGGAAATAAAATAGTTTAAATCCACCAAAAACTGTACATCAATGCCGTTCAACATTTTGTAGTTTCGAGACTAAAAAACGCATTCATCTCGAACACACTTATTCGATGGATATCATCAGACTAGTCGTTATTCGATTTTTCACATTTGATTTGAACGACGATTTTAAATATATGCTCCTCGTGCTTAAAATCTTTGAATCCTTACGTTTTTACAGACCTCCACTAGGCACGTTGAGTGTTTACGATCTGAAGTTGTGCAGCTGCTTAGACAGAATACGTACGATCATATATTATTTCAATAAAATTGTTCAATGATCGATTTGAATGCGAGCACATTTTTTGGATCGCTTTGTCTAACTCGATGGCCTATAATATCAATTTTCCCTGGTATAGTTAAAAATTTTCGTTACAAATTACAAACCGTTACAAATTTGAGTAACATCTTCTAAATAGTATTATTGATGTAGCTAAGTTTAATTACTAGATATAATTAATCAAATTATATTATAGATGATTTATGAACAATTATTGCAATGGTTATTTCATTAGATACAATAAAATGTTAAATACAAAACAAATTACGTATTATTCGGTGGTCTTAATGTCGTAATTGTTTTAATTAACCTAGAAAATAGCTTGTCTTGTATTCGGTATAAGGACGTTACACAAAAGTATCTTCTATTTTTGCAAGAATTTTTTAGACTAATGTGTCCTTCCCCACTACCAATTGCCTTGGCTGATTTAGCTTGATCTTAAAATAATTCATTGGAAATGCCGTTATCGATCTGCGTATATGGTGGGTTATAAATTAAAAATTTTGTTTTCAAAGAAACGTATACTAATATATTATACTGACATTCGTTAGTAATTTTCCTATTATTTTTTCAGAACTTCTCAGTATGCTGATGTGGATGGACATTGTCAGAGCGAACCAAAACACGATGCCAAGACTGCCCATTCCAAGTAAGTAAAATAAGAATGCCCGTAAATAATATACCTATAAATGACGTCCAATTTATGTATGGCAAATTACATCGAAATACATACCTAAAATAAATACCACATTATTTAGATTCGATCTAAGAAACATTATAGGTACTTAACGCGCCATCTATGAGTATAATAACGCGTGACTGTCAACAGTGCGTTTAATGATCGTTAGAAACAGACACGTGTATATAGAATACCGTCTGAATAATTATTTTATTTATTTTACAATAGTAATTTGCTTATGTTAATATCATCAACTTCATCGTGTGCGATAAAAACACTAACTACTACTATTAGTTAACTACTAACTAATTATTAATTAAATACTAGTTGTTACATGCCAAAAAAATAATTTATTATAATATTAATAACGTTCTGTATCAAGTACACATCTACACGTTTTATCCATCTTGGATTGTTATTACTTGGGATGTTTTTTTATTAAACGTTGCCATAACATTTATTTTTATTATTATTTAAGTTGTCACTTGTCTTTGTTTGGTTTCATAAAAAAAATATAAACCTATAAAAAACTAGATATTTAATTTAGTCGAGGCTAAAGTTGTAACTTGTCAAGGGATTAAATCTTATTTTATTTTCTTACCATAATAGATGTAGATTGTCAATAGGTAAAACAATATGATTGGTTGCATATGATTTACGTCACTAAAAACGAAAATTTACTTCATGGTAACTTGCGTCCGCGATTTTTGTCCAATACCTCCAAGTGATGCCCGCAAGAATAATATAATATAGTCTATAATATAGACTTTATATATTTGATGATAAACTTGTAGAAAACCTCAATTATTGATTTCATATCTGTAAAACCCACCTTACAATTTATTGTGTTAATTTAATTAAATTTAAATTTAAATTAAATTAAATTTTTTTTGTATGTGTTAGCTTCGGTTTCACTGCGAAATTCACTTCAATCATTAAACGTACGGTCGAACATAATATTTTTAATTTTAAATTTATAAAAAATATATATTAATAGAAAATATTAAATTAATTAAAGAGTTTAATGAAAAAAAATAAACAAGTCTAATGTATTAATGGATACAATTTTGTTTTCCAAAACTGTTTTAATATATATTACTTTTTAAAAGGAGTCGTATTTATGTAAATTTTATTTTAAATTTAACGAAAGTAGTGAAATAATTGTTGTGTTTTAAATCACGATCACGGCAATGAAAATGAAAACGTTTTAAATCGTCAAAAAATCAATAAAAATTGAAACGAAAAGCTCTCGATAATCCATGTAAAACTCTACATCAAAAGTTGCGTAAAGGAGATTTATGTACATTAATTATCACAGATAGAAATTCGTATTAGAAAAATTTGGATGAATTGGATTTGGCAAAAACTAATTTGGAGGAGGTAAAAACTGATAAAGAAAAAATTTTCACGGGAAAATCGCAGACGCAACTCGGATGTGTTGGGTAAAAATAGGGGGAAGCAATTCGGATGTGTCGTAAGAACACCAAAAACGCAACTAGGACAAAATACAATTCATGGACGCAATTGAAATGCACTGGTACATAAATATAGGTAAATATTACGCGAATTTTGAGTTCAGTCGTCAACAGTATGATTTTGTTATATCAAGCAGGTGTTCATAACAATGTCGTTTCATCAAAAATTATTAATGTATAGGTTCATGACGATTTTACGATTAAGAAGAAACATTTGCTACTATTCATACAGTAAATGAAATTGTTTTTAATAATAGCCGTATTTCGTAATCCATTTATTGTCATACAATTTATTCTTTAATTAATTTACATAGTGGTTTTGGTCTTTAATTGTAATTTACTTTTCTTTATTTGGGAATAGCAAAAGTATTGCATATAAACCTTAAGAATTAAAGAAAACCGTATTAATTTTGGCATTTTTTTTTTTTTTATATAACTTACTATCAATAATATGCGTATTGAAATCTATTAAATGTGATAAAATATAATTATTTCACCTTTTTTTCATGCTTAAAGTCAGATTATCAATATCTTCTCATTTCTATTAAATACTATAAACAAAGATAATTTTGAATCCTATATCGTCTGATAAAACTGCTGATTATTTATGAAAATTGATCAGTCTATACACGTTTCGACTGATATATGTTAAAAATTTAATATAGACCATAATATACAAGAACGCAAATCGTTTACATAAGTCAGGAAATTTTATTTTATATTTATAGAGATTTAGTGAAGCAAAATTTTGGTCAAGACTCGTTTGATTTAGTGTTCAGTCTAATTAAGGACGGTTCATTATTAGTTTATAAGATTATTAAGAGAGATTGTTAAGCTACAAAAAATCGGTAGGAGCGTAGTTGTGTAAAAGGGATTTAGATATTCCATGAATTGCGCATTTGTGTTATACCTATTGAAATATTATCCAACACCGGTGTCGTTCGTGTAAATAACTGAGGGACGGAGGTAAATAGGAAGACGGTTGTTTGTGTATTTAGTACCATATTGTTTGCTAAGTTCAACCCCTTATTCTGGGTTATCGAATTTCGAAAATTAGGGCAGGTGAGCAAAGTGTTTCCGAACCTAGTCCAGACAAGCGAGAATGCAAAAACCGACAATCTGGTCAAAGTTATATATTTTGATTACGCATACCGACTGATTATAATTTACTTAAAAAAACCACAAAAATTAGTATTATTTGGTATAATACTTTAGTATGTTGCTACCGAACATTTTGCTTATCACTTATTTTTTTTATTCGTAATTTCCGTTTTACATTTTTTTTTAAAAACTAAAAATAATGAGGCTTATAAAATTAAGAATTTGAATCATTATAATATTCAGATAAAAACACTTTTTTTAAATTATTAACTATTTGTAAATATTATAAAATATAATGTTGTTATTTATAAATAGTTAATATCTTATATTGTTTGAATTATTACAAATAAAAAACAGAATTCTAATAAATTGAGAGTTTTTAATATTTACAACCGTTAACTCAAATAAACACTAGATCTGTATTACAAATAATATACACGCTGCAGTAACGTTCGTTGTATAAAGTAAAAATATATCATTATTAAAAAAAAAATGTTGGCCCCTTTAGAGATAATAGATAATTCATAGAGTATAACGTGTAGTTGTAAGTTTTGTAGACATTTTTAAGTGACACTATTACTATGGGAAATCTTTTTGGTGAAAATTGTACTTGAATGATCAAAGTTTCCGAATATTTAAGATTAACCGAAAAATAAACTCGACAAACAATTGTTTTTTGTAAACTTTTAACCCCTGGAGGCCCATAAAAGGGTCAACTTATCACGAATCGAAATTATTTTTATAACTCGCACAACGATATTCCGAGCGGGTAAACGTAAATATTTGACATTTTTTTGTATCTCAACAACCCAGAACCGTTGTAATATATAATATTCGTGTATTATACTGCTGATAAAGGTCGGTTTATGTACAAATATGATCCCAAAGTCTATTTCGTCGGGGCTACCGGGCAGGTATTCAGAAATATGAACTTATTGTTTTTCAATTAATTCGATACGTATGTACGTATCCGACGGACTTGGTGAGCTAACTTAAAAAAAGGGCAAAAAAAATATACCTTCAAACACGGAATAGACGCGTATATCATGTATGAACAGGGATCCGATTTTTTGTATTAAATAATGTAACTTTTGTTCAAACAATGTATATTGTATCAACTTAGATAATTTTTTTTTCTTTTTTATCGATCAATTTTCTAATTTATCGTGTACAACAGTGCACGCCTCAAGTCGTATGGAAAATCGATGCAGAAGCTATATTTGAAATCGTTCTCGTTTAAGAAAAAAAAATCGACCGAATTTTTATTTTTTTTATTTTCGAACCGCTGTGCGCGTCGGTCGGTCGGTCGCGTACAACAGCAGTTCGACCCGAAAACGTAAACGTAAAAATCGTCTTGTGTGTTCGCAGGCTTACCGTCGAGCCCATCGGCGGCCGCAGCGGCCGCGGCCGCGTACACGGCGGCCGCGGCGCTCAACCTGTCGCCCGTGTACAAGGGATCGATGGTGAACGCGGCGGCGGCGGCGGATGTGCCGGAGCAGAGCGAGGCATTGAACCTGGGCAAGAAGAGGACGTGCAACAACAACGGCAGCGAGGATGAGCGCGAACGCGGCGACGAGGCGTCTAAGCGCATCAAAATGGAGCCCCGACCGTCGCCGCCGCTCGGCTACTCCAGCGGCGATGAGGCAAAGGCCAGCGACGCGGACAGCCCGCCGCCGACCGCGGCCGATGTCGTGCGGTACGCGTTGGACGCGAGGCGCGAGTCGCCACCCGTGGACGAGGACGTCGTCGAAATGGATATCAACACGTCGTCCACGGCCGGTGAGTGTAAGCCGTACCCGGTCGTCCGTAGTACCCTTAAAGGCTAGTTCAGACTATGCTAGTAATTTAGTCAAGTAACCAGTATTTTAGTAACGTGTATGAACAGATCGATTTAGTCAAGTAGTTTAGTAAAGTAATTTAGTTTAATCAATCCATTCTATTCTATTTTTTTTTTGGTCGAGTAGCACCCTACTTTATTACTTTTCATAGCACAAAAACCACTACTAATGTACTAAAACAGTTTTTAATCCTAGTTGTGTCTGAACAATTTTCAGTCACTAAACCGTTTAGTAGTTGGTAAATAACTTACCACTCGACTAAATTACTGACATAGTCTAACCTACCGATAATCTCCGAGTAATTTCTCAGTAGCGGAACAGGAGAGATGGAGGGCAATTTAATCGTAAGAAGGGGCGAGACAGGGGTGATTGGGTGATTCGAAACCACCGCCTTCGGTTCTTGGGAGAACGCTGTTAACGCTTTTCAACGGTGAAACTGTTGTTTCGTCCGATTTGATCATGTCAAATGAGCTGTACGTTTTTTCCCCCGTAACAACAGTTTACCACGGCTTTTTCCTACTAGAGCAACATGTATGGTTGAACAGCCACGATAAGCTATTATAAAAAGTTATTTTCATCAAATATTAGATTATGCTAACCGATGAAACTGACACCAAACTTCAGGTTGAGTTTAGAACTAATGAAATTATTTAAAGTAAATTGAAAATTTGATTTAATCGAAAACGGAACCGACAAAAATGGGAAAAAGTGTTTAGTCAAGTGTTTTTAACGTAGCAGAAACGTAATGCTCGAAAATAAGGGTAGCAGTGGTGGTTTTAACATAAATGTGTTCAGATTTTTCTACGTAAATAGTTGAGTTAGTTCGTTTCGTTATCTTTATCTACTTCATTACCCTCAAACTTATCCAACTGCTTGATGAGATTGGCCCGTATTCGTTCGTTATGCACGTATAAAAAGAGTTTTTAACATTTAAGAATTATTTTTGTTCTCAATTATTATAATTTTTTTTTTTTTATCTAAGTTTATAGGGTTAGTCAATAAATATGTTAAGGTTATTTTTGAGATGAAGGAAGTTATTGTATGCGAAGTTAAATGGCCATGTAAGGATAATAAAAAGATATATCATTTAAATTATTAAAAGTTTAACACTGAAATTTGAGCTGTAAATGATATTTTAAATTATTATCAAACAAAATTACGTATTAAATTATGCATTTCATGTGTCTTCCTTAATGGCCCTTAATTTTCTTGCAGTCCTCCACATAAATGTTTTGTTTGTGCTGATAAGTAATTAGGTCACTTATTCCATATTGTTGTGAAACAGCCTCCTCAGCTTTTATAATGACGAATCTATTGTTAACTATACTTCACTAACAATATCCTATCCGAACGACAGAAGCAGAACGAGAACTATAAAGAAAGATGGGATTAAAAAGAATTTTGATGAAAACGCAAATCAACTGCCCTGGATGCACTAAGTTTTCTAAAAACAACATGTTTTTGAAAATATTAAAAATATTCACATATTATAAGTATATATAAATATATTACCATTTTGAAAAGTTTATGCGAACCCGGGAACAGGGAGAGTTTGAGAAAAATGTTTATTGTACGGTCATAAAGAAAGAAGTCAGTCTCCGTGTTTCCTTCTGTGAAAAGTATCGTCACAAGTTTTATTTATAACAACTATACAACATTTTATCGAGTATAATAAAGACGTTGAATTTTTAGTGGTGTAAAAATGCGATGTTATATATATTTTGCAGACAGACCATAGGGATGGTTGAATTATTGGTATGCTACGATGGCAGGACTTTCGTATTTATTTATACGTAACAGACTTAGAAAATATATATCTTTAACCGTTATAATAATATATAAATAATATATAAATAATATTTGACACATATAAATACGTATAATGACTATCATATGTAACATATTATACTGTGAAGTGATTACTAATACAGGACCGTTTCTTTCAGGTGCATCTGGCAACAATGGTCTTGCGATTTGTGTTACACGCAGGACAAAAACCGGTGTCTACAGAGGTCAACTCACTAAAACCAATGCACTCGTCAACGGAGGCAAGCACATTTTTATTATACACCGCACACAGATTTACTATTAATTGTGTGTGCGTTATTTTTTTAAATTTTTTTTTATTAGCTTGTCGAAATCTGTTTAATACGTCGTAAAGTTTATCTAACATTAACCGCCCCTCAATTGTATACGCGTTTAAGACGGATATATTTCAAATATTTTTTTTTACTCGTTCTAAATTAGTCCTTAAATACACTCTTCGACAAACTGTATTTTCCTGAACGCGATGATAAATTATAGTATAAATATACATCTTCTACAATTCGAGTCTCTGTTAATTACATAGGATTCAATATATATTGAGAAATGCAGAATACACATTAAATGTAGAAGAATAAAAATACTAATTCTTTATGATCGATATTGTGCGTTTAAAGTTATACCAGCAAAAAACACTGATTCAATTATACCGTACAATTCACTACTCAGAAAGTCAGACCTATGTGGACTTAGTCTTTGACTTTGAGGTGTTTCAATAATATTTCATTAAAATAAAATTCAAACTTTTCAAAACATTACAGGCTAGTATGTAAATTCTTTAACGTTACCGGCTTTTTTTTTTCTCGTTAATGAATCATATCAATAAATAGAGAAGTCTACACATTTTGTAACTGCGATTATATTCAATACTCGCGAACAACTACGACTCATTCGTAAAAAAAGTTCACAACTCTTCCTAAATAATATTCCTCCGAGGTTATAGATAATTAACGGTTCTGCGTGATTTCATTCATCGTCAATCTTCACACGTTCTTTCATCAAATAATACAATTATCATGTATTTTATTCATCGTTCAATTCGTACGAGTAAGATTTTGTACACCTGTTGTGAACGAATACCACGCGTAACACCAAATACACATGTTTTTTACCATACGCTAGTCCCGAATGCTCTGTATACACAAGTACCCTTGGCAGCTTAATCCGTCAACCTAGACTTTATTAATAAAGCGTATTTCCGGAAATTCCGACGTAGTTATTTCCGAAACACTGACATACACATAAAGGTACATAACTTTAATACACGTATATAAAATACACACGCGCGCGCGCGCGCGCATATATGTATATATGTATTATACATACTATATAATATGATACGTACGGCATAGGTAGTTGCGATGTTTCATTATTCCGAGGCGTTTAATCCCTGGACGACTCTCACACCGGCTTAAGCTCACTGATAGTAAATCTTCTAAGTACGCATCGCCGTCGACTCTTATAACCACGTTAAACAAAATATATACCCTGTACATGCTGTGTAAAACGTATAGTTGTTATCCGGGCTCCAAGCACGCACAATTAAGAGTACGGCCTACGATATGTTGTAATTATTTAATATATACGAATATATATATATATATATATACACTGTAAATCAAAAATAAGGAATAAGGAATAGAGAAAAAGAATCCACGAAGGTCTAGGTACGAATTTTTAATACGAAGACTTGCGCGACAAAAAGTAAACAATAAAAGCTCCCAAAAGACTTTAATTAAAACCCGTGTGGACTACGACGACATTGCGACTGTTTCGTGTCATTAGTTTCCTATTCCTGTCTCAAGTCTTATCAACTTTTCGGCGTATTACCCTCTGTATGTATACGTGAAAAGACAATAATATACCTCATGACGTTTGTTTTCATTCCGTTTATAAATGCCGTTTTTTCTATTATTGTTTTGTCTCTGTGTATATAATTAAAACTAAGAAACTCGATTACTGTTTATTTTATTTACTTCGGTTGCATTTTACTAAATCAATGAAAGGCTTTTATTTATACACGACGTAAACGCATAATTTGGTACACTGTTTTTTCTTCTACCATTTCCCGGATAATTATACGAAAAAATAATACCGATTGTTTATTATCATTCACTTGCAACATAATCACTCAACTATGTTTACAAGCATGTATTATAAGTGCATATATTTGAATTTTATAAGGCGCAACACTTACTTTTTCGAAGAACATTATCTACGAGAAAAAATAGTGTCATATAAGTTGTGTAAGTATAATATAGTTGTCATTTAAAAAAGATTAAATTTTAATTCGTAGGTCGGAAAAAAAATTAAGACATTCACTATAATTTTTTTGAAGAATGATTAAGAAGGTTTAATCAATGTTAAAAGTATATTTTCTATTTTTGATGCTTTACTCCACACCAGAATTATATAAATAGAAAAAAATTACAAATAAATATTAATTGTTGAACCGACAACTGTAACTTATTATAAACATTTAAAATTAGTGGATTCGTGGACGAGATTTATAAATTATCTCATAATTATTAAAGTTGCGGTACATGATGCAATCATCGTTGACCACATGAACTATTTTGCGAAAACATGTAGTTGTCATCAATGACGGTCGTCAAACATTTTGCTCATCATTTGGCTACCGCACGTTTGGAAACGTTCGAATAAACTTAAACATATAATGCGATCAAGCAGATTTCCCCCCCCCCCCTATTTCTACAGTAAATTTCTCAATTTTAATCTTCAAACTATTTATTTTCCAATCCGTAGATAGTTTACGAAGCGAAATACATTTTTAAAAATTCAATACTTATTGTTAAGTACGAAAAATATGAGATGAAGTTCAAACAAATATCATAAGTTAGTGCCACGGATCAGTGAACGATATAGGTGTATAGCTACTAGATATTTACCCACACAGCATTTGTAAATCTGAAAGATTGAAACAATATTTATATATGATTGAAATTTAAATATTTAAAATAAAAACTTGACACAACATTGAATGTATATAAGATTTTTCATGATAAGCCTGGAACATCTAATAAGAATTTAAAAACAATCGAAAACAGATATTTGAAAATTAATGAAAACAATGCAAAACAATGTTGCTCCCTCCTTTTGAAATTTGTATTTTAAATATTGCGTATCATATTTATTGATAGATAACCACGAAGCGTTATCGATTACATAATGTGCACAGCTGTCGTCATGGTGTGCGAAGCTAAAATCTAGAATTTACAATAAGACTAAAATATGCATAATTATTTGCATATGCGAAAAACGTTATGCATCCATCGGTTTATAGAACCTTAAAGTAGTTTATATATTTGGATGTTGTAAAAAAAAAAAAAACAACACATACACCGTTACGATTATAATCCTATACTATTGTTGCATTGGTCCCATTACGATGTGGTTGTACCGTAATGATGTAATAATTAAATACAAACAACACTTTATCGTGACGTTATTACGTAATAAATATCGTTATCATTATTAATGTTTAATATCATTTTTATTCAGTGTCTGATTCGTTTTATTTTACCCTTCACAGGACTGAACAACAACGCGAATCCGTTTGTTTTACACCTGAACGGTGACCTGTACACTGGGCACTTGCAGTTGCAACAGCAGCAGCAGACGGCGAGCAATTAACGCGGTTTTCAACGAAGTCAACAATTCGTGAAAAACCATTTTCGAAAATGTTATTATATTATTTTACGTGAAAACTGTACGACTCACGCTATCGCGAAATAAATAATATCCTAGGCAATATGGCGATGGCAAGTACGAACAGTCTTCTCGGGTCTACCACGTTAAATCATATATATCCCTTTTATGTATATAATATGTTGGGTTCGCACTCAACACGAGCAAGGAATACGCGTTTTGTATTTTTTTTTTGTGCTTGTTTTTATTTTATCCTGATTTCGAACTTTTACCGAAATCTCATCGACGGTATAACGATTCCACGAACTCGTTTTTATCGCTGACGTGGCAAAACCGCCTCGTGAGCATAGCCTAAATCGCTTATGACAATCGTGTTTCGCACGCGCTCGTGAACTTTTATCTTTTAACGTTGTCACGTTATTTAATGTAATAATTAAATTTTTCATTTTTTGTACGATCTGTCACTGGTCAAAGATAAAACATTTCCCTGCTTACTCTCGTTTTCAATGTAATGTAGTCACCGAACGTTCTGTCATCGAGGAATTATCGTCATGAAATATAATCATAACGCAGTAACCTAAACGATAGCAATGTATAGACATGACCATAGAGTTATCAAAAATCTTTGGGCCAAATGTGTTTGAATAATTTGTATGTGATTAATCTTCTTTTGAGTTTAAACACCTGTACATGGACGAATTGTCAATGTATTTTTGGTATACGTGGTTCAATCTCGGATTTTACGTCTTGTAAAATTCTTGTATGATATTAAAATACACACCCACGCATAAAATCCGGTACGTTTCGAAAATCTCGTGGCTACTTTTTGTACAAAAAAAAAATTCGAATTGTAAAACTTTTTTCTCTTTTCTTTCCAGACGACTCGGGTCGAATGTTTGTCAGCTGAATGTTTGTGACAGCACTATAAGACCCAAAAAAAACATTATACGGAATTGTAAAATAAGGTTTGTTTGCGCAGTAAAAAAAAAAAAAAAAAAAAAAATAAATAAAAAATAATAATAATAATAAGTAAAAAATAAAATAAAATACCAAAGTTGTTCAAACGCGTGTTGGCTTATATAATATTATTGTTAAATAACTTGAAACTTTGTACTTATTTTAATATAATAGAAATATTATTTATACAATTGTATTGATTGTGATTATATAGTATTATCGCTAAGTCATTTTAAGTGTATTATATTATAAATTATTCATTTTCGATGTATAACATAGTTCAAACGTCGTATTTAATTTTTTTAAGTATAATTTAATTAAAATTTAAGTAGGATTTTTTTTCTAGTACTTAAGAAGTATATAATTATTATAACTTTTATACGCACGTGACTGTATGGTATATTTATTTAATACATTTTTAGTCGAATTTAACGTACTTGCGCTTGATGGGCAAAGATCTCATATATAAAATGTGTAGAAAAAAAAATCATTCACTTCGTGGTGCATACATATTCTTACGTAACTGATTTTATGGTTTAAAAAAAAAAAACAGTATTATTGCCAAGGTCATTTTTTTTGTTTCATTTTTTTTACGATGAATTCATTTATATAATCTTATATTGTGTACGTATATATGTGTGCGTGTGTGTTTGCGTGCGTGTGTGTGTGTGTGTGTTTGTTTGTGTGTGTGTGTGTGTGTGTGTGTGTGTGTGCGCGCGCGTGCAAATATTTGCAAGCGCATGGATTAAGTAGATCCCACATAAATTAATATTTAGTAAACCATTTTTGGCTGAAATAAGATTATGTGTACCCTTGTAGGTATTTATACGTTCAACAAGACACGCTGTGTAGAGCAGTTTTTGTTTTACACTTAAGTTATATATTTAATTATTGTCGTGTAGATCGCATAATTATATTAATCAATCGATATTTGTATTGCGTAAAAAATATATTATAAAGCTATAATATTAATAATATACGTTTAATTACTATATTATTATCATATATGTAGGAACGTGTTCAAAATGATTTTATTAATTTATTTTGTAAATATACTATTTATTTATTTTTACCGTCGTTTAATTTTACCATTCGATTTCGTATACATTACGAAATATCCATCGGATTACAATAGTAATTATTCATTGTCCGCATCATAGTTGAGCACAATAATATATAATATGCATCTGCGTACATCGATCGTAACACGTACTCCGATCATAACAATATCATCATTAAACGATTCGTCTTCTCATAACCGTGATCGCTTTAAGCATCGGTAACGCGCTGATGGTGGACCGCGATAGTTACTATCGATGCTATCGTGAAAGTGCCCTGTCACAACACGAACAGTTTGAATCGAAATGGACACTGATAAAAAATTACGGATCTTATGGAAGTTCGATGATTCGAGCTGAACCACTTTCGGTGTTACCATAAAACTAAAAAAAACATATGTACTGTACACAATCCTTATTATATAATCCGTATTACATAATGAATGTATTTTCAGTGTTGATGTTTAGCGATTAGCTGAAAGTTAATCTATCTGTTATTAATTCTAAGTAAGAACACATGAATTATTTTAAGTCTTGTTGTTAAAAAGAAGTCCATTGTAATTGTCACGTTGAAGCAAACGACAACCACAGCAAAAACGTTGGAAACGTAAAAAAAAAAAAAATTTTTTTGGAACATGGTAAAAAATTTCAGAGCAAGAGCAAGACATGTCAACATAAAGAACAGAGCCCAAAATCGTTAAATTAATTTAATGTATAATGTTATTTAAGTAAGCATTTTTGTATAGGCGTATTAGGTGGGGTGGCTTAGCCCTCCAGCGTGAATATTACTCACCTTCCAAAAATTATTCCTTGTCTATTTCGTTTAAATAAATTGTTCTTGTTAAATTGATTTTATAGTAGGAATTCAGCATTCTCCCCTTATATATTTTTCACTCTACGGTGTAGGACCTAACGCCGATGGCATTGGTGCTTTATTCAAATTTTTAAATTCAAAATCTAGCAGTTGCAGCGGCACCTGCCTACGAAAATTCCAGGTGAGGGGGAGGATAACGTACGCACTAAGGATCTGTGTGGACCTTCCAGAAACTCAAAAAAAAAAAAATTTAGACACATCCTAGATCAGTTCGTATTTTTTTATTTATATAAAGACTGTACCCCTAAAATTTAAATATAAAACTTTAAATATATTAGTATGGAATTGTATTTTTATAAATATTTAATTTATACCTTCAATGAATAAATTATTAGTATGTGTTGGCTCGATAGGGTTATTTTTACCTCTTAGCATTCGGATGGTTTGTTTTATTGATTCTTCTATAAGCATTTTCATTAAAACTTATTTCGGTATTTTGTTGAATACTTTGTTGAAAATTTGGTTTGATGTAGAACTTTGACAATTTCTTTTATTTCAGTTTTAGATTTTACGGCTTCAACATTATTCCGAATGGATCATGGTTATGTTCATAATGAAGACTTATGACTTTGTTTTTGTTTAAAGTTGTTTTTAATATAGGATACTAAAAATAATGACTTTTCACGAATTCCCAACAAATGAACGGTATACATTCTTTGTATTTTATATACATATAAACGTTTAAAGAAGTTTTTTTATTATTTTCATTTGATTTTAATATTTCCATAGCGAAACATGAAAAGAATTACACGAATAATCAATAGAACACAGAATAATAACGTAAAAACCGTGAGCACATCAATATCTTAAATTTTATCGATCGACAGATTTTTTTTTAGGCGTGTATAATTGGTTGTTCGGATAAGTGCGGTAAACACAACCCATATCGATTAGATAAAGTAAAAGTATTATTTTTATAACGTTTATTTCGTAAATCCACCCAGAGTGAAATAAATGGGGACTTTTTTTCCTAGGGATTTTTTTCCGTTTACCGCACTATGTGACGGTTAACACAGCATTGAACATGATATGTGTTAAGTAACTATTTTAAGCAAAAATATAGAAGTTAGTAAAAATGTACTATCACGCAAACAAAACAAACCAAAAATATTTATTTGATACACCAAAAGGTTCGCCATCCCTGCGCTAGTGTGTCCGTCGATTAGCTGATCACCCGAAATAACTACCTACACGACAGATTTCGCTAGATAGGAAAGTTAAAGAAATATCAATTAAGATTAACGCGTAAAAATATATTGATATCTGTTCGTGTCGACCGGCTAACTAATATGCGAGCCAATCTGCACGGCATCGCCGACCCGTTTTCCGTATCTGTTTTTTTTATCCGTCTTCGGGTTATCACGTATTTTTCGAAAACTGATCAAGTTTAGTCGATAAAAGTACTCGACCGATTTGCACGTGAGCACTGTGATCGTTGCACCATACCGATCGGATCACAAAGATCTCTTTATCCCCTTCCGTTACTTAAATTATATTTCTTTCGTTCCATGTAGTAGCCACCGTCCCACCCCTGCCTCTCTTTGTTTTTGCTCTGTTCACAGGCCTCGATCATTGTCAGTCACGTCATTTCTAACGGTGTCGAAACGTAGAATTATGAAAAAACATCTCTAACCGCGTCACTCGTTACCGTTTACAGGAACAATATTGATTGTGATCCACGTCCGATGAACGTTAGGGGTGCGATGTCATTACGTAAGCTATACGTTTAGTTTAAAATCACAATTATTTCATTCGATGATAATAAGATCGTTGTTATTCAAAAAAAAAAAAAAATGTTTGGTTAAAACCGAAACGCGAACCGAATACTCGTGTATATTTTAAAATGTGTGGTCGGAAAGTGCACTGAAATGATCAACCGCTCGCCGTAATCCTTTGCGGGGTGGTCCACGCGAGTTTTGCCAGGATCGTTTTTTCTTCTCCGCCACTCTGCCGCTTAACCCAGAACCATAATTGCTGTTGGCCTCCGTTCGCGCGCACAAAACCGTCGGCTTTGCAAGGAGTTTTCGCCGGAACAATCGTATCATGTGAATTATTAAAGCGCGGACGGATTAGCCGCGGTGTTACGGTGATCCGCCGGCGGGCGGCGAGGGGACGTGTAAAAAAAATGGTCGCATATTTTTCAACCCGTAACCGTGGGTTTCGCGGCTCCACCAGTACTCGACTTGTGGCGGGACGGAGTACTCCGTCTAATTTTTAGAAATTTTAGCGTCCCCCTACTATTGTTACGTTATAATTATATAACACTTAACAAGTTTTTGGGACGCTCTTTTTCTTTGTAGTAAACAGAGTTCCCCTTCTTTAATTTTGTCAAGTAGAGCACTGGGGCCCACACTTGATATTAACGCTCGATATCAACGGTGTTATCCGTGCTCGGTACACGTTTTGCGAGTAGTGGAGAAGGATAAGAAGAAGGAAAACGAGCGTGAGACCACCAGTGGTACCGCACGTTTTACCGTTGAACCGAGAGCCTATACCAAAGATTTGGAAGAATTGACTTCGACACGCAGAACTCGCATCAGCTGCTCAAAGTACACAGTAACGGATTTATCGGAGTGTAAAAATCCGAAATTTCAGAATCCAAAATCCGGATTTTGTTGTGAGTCCACGGATCATGGAATCCCAAATCCGAAAAATCATTACTTGAAAAAACATAAAAAACATTACTTCATACACGTTAAACATGCGTATACTTAACGTTTACAATGGAATAGCAGTTATTTGTGTTTGTAATTTTAGTTTCCCACCAAATACAAACTATTGTTTTGGAATTTGAAACGAATATATTATTTGACGCGATATGGTTGTCAATTGGACGGGTTAATTGTTCAACTATTCGAAAAGTTGTTAAGGCGTACCGAGATTTCTCGATTAAACTATTTCCCAACGATGGCTATCCGTTGAAATTAGTTACGACTGTGAATAATGGAAATCCTACCATAATACGAGTAGTATAAATAAATTAATAGTAATTAATCGGCTACTAGATTTGCTCTTATTAGTAGTCTAATTCCGAGAGAAAACAACAAGCGATTTTTTTGGAATTGAAATGTTTAAGGTTCATTGTACGACAGAGCTTAATAGCTGGTAAAGTTTTACGTTTTGTAAACGTTTATGGTGTACAATACAGTT